TGGATTCGTTTCTCTCTTCTCAGGTAAGACAGTCTGGACGATCGTGCACTATACTCTATGCACCTCCGCAATTAATTAGTTTGCATGTTTTTGAGGATGATACAGTGGCTTAGGTCACTGTATCCATGGCAAATCTCATGTTTTGGTTTGGTTTTTTGTTGGGCCCTGCCCCTTTTTTTGTTGCTTCGCTGTTTTGCTTTGTGGCGAAACGCAAATCTGGCTGGGGGATTTGCGGGTCGTTTTTGGTTGCGTTGTTTGTTTTGTTTTGTTTGGTTTAGTGATGATTTGCCAGAGTTTTTGGACCACACGTGTCCTATACTTTACTGCTTCTCACCGCTTACGCAATTGTAAGGACCGTGCCTAGTGCGATCGGCCAAATCGGAGGAAAAAAAATCTTGGAACAATGCATGTGTATGTGAACAGTTAGGTAACCATTTTAAGTTTGTAGGAACCTATAGGAACCAATTTGGAACCAAATGGCACCAATTTGTGCATGGAAGAGCTTGGAGAGGGATTTTCGTTTGTTTTTGTGGTTTTTGGTGTTTTTGAATGTTGTTTGACCCATGTCTTAGGAACTTGATGTTGTGAACTTATTTGGTAGGAATTTTGTAGGTTATTTGTGAGTTTGAGCTGAAGACGTTTTATTTGGAGAAACTAGAAGAACGTTTTGGAAGCTTGAGAACTCTTTTGAAGTAGTTTGATAAGTTTGAAGACGTTTGAGTGTCACTGCGTTTTATTCTGCACGACTCTTCTAAGAAGAAAAGTGACTGAGCTGTCAAACCTGTGTGGTGTGGCTCAAGTCCGAGCTGTGAAAAAGAGCTGCCAGGCCGCTCTCGTGTTTTCACACTCCTATGCAATCGAGCTACCGACAATTTTCTCAGCAAATTGTACCCTGCGATGCCAGCGCAGTGCTTGAATGGGACCTAGATTCTCTCTTCATGGTCTCTGATCGCCCTTTGCTTGCTGTGGCAACGTTAGTGGGGTCTGACTTTGGGGAAAGACTCACCTTGACCGATCCATTGGGTGCACGCCCCCGAATGACTTTGAAGGGTTCCGTCGCTGACCACAGCAGTTCACTCAAGATAGAGCAAACCAGAAGGTGGAGTACAGCCAACACGCCGTCCTTGCATCGACCAAAGCTTCAGCATGTCTCATTAGGTTGCTCAGATATTTCGCCATCTGTTGAACCAACCGAACAATGAGACTACCTGCGTCGCTGGAATTACGGTTGCTAACCGTGCTTTCTCGCTCATGGCTTGGTTCTCTGCCCACTGGGCCAACAAAATTGCTTGTACAGTTTGGACACTGAGTTTGTCCTTTTTAGAGTGATTAACGTTTATCCAACTTTCAGGACCGAGCCTCTGAGCTAAATCGGCCGCACTTCGGGAAAAAAAACTGGTCCAACAAAATTGCTCCAATTTTCATGAACTGCTCGAAAGCTGACGGTGACCCAGCATCGGTCTCAATGGTTGTGCTGCAGAGCGTGAAAAGCGCCTAGGAATCGCACAAAACCGTGTGTTTACTCGCACAAAGTGGCTCCCCGATGTTGCGAACATCGTTTGTGCGATTCGCGCGTTTGCGTTCAAACGCCGTCTCTATGGTAAAGTTGAATTCATGGGTGTAAATCGTATTGTAATGGCATCCATCTTGTTTATGGCCGCGGTGGTCGACGCAGTTATAGTGTGATTTGCGAACCAGGGATGGCAGATTGCAGTGGAACTGCTGTGTACAGGTGATGTTTGGACGTTAGGAATCACCCGAAACCCTGTGTTTTCTCGCACAAAGTGGCTCCAGCCAGATGGCCGGGCGTTGTTCCTATAGTTCTCCCTTGTCCCTCTCTCGAATCTTCTGTCGCCCGGCTTGCCCGGACTCTACTTGTATGCAAGAAGAACGCGGGTAACTCCTTAGATTACCGTATTTGTCATTGCATGAGTGTCGAAAATGTGGTTTTGGATGTGGCCACATAGATGTGCGCGCAGTTTCTGCATGGCCAGTGCGCAAAGGATTGCAGGCACAAAACGAGGCATCAAAGAAAAATCGCAGAACTGCAATTTCAAAACAAAAAATCGCGTGGGCAGTTGCGTCATGTAAACAAATGATGCATTACACGCCCTTTGGTGCAAAGGAAGAAGGTGCGGAGTTCCATTCTTTTAGTAGCGGTCGCGACTGAGGTTTTAAATTCCGTTTTATATTGTCAATGTTTATTTTTGCGTTTTTTTCAGTTTGCATGTTGGTTTTTGTGGTGCTGCATTCGCGTCTTGTTTTGACAAACCAATTGAACAAATGCTTGTGTGTTTGTTCATTGCGGTTTGCCGTGGCAAGACTCACCCAACCTCGAACCAAAAATCAACATCATACCGGTGTTTTCCAACAATTTTGCCCAAAATTTTCTTTAATTTTTGTCAATTGTTGGGATATTTTTGCGCAACATGTTTTTTTGGATTCATTTCTCGCACAATATGCGGTTGTGTGTTGTGAGTAGCCAGATCGGTGACGGTCGTGAAACAAAAACAAAACGACGGTGCCACAAATTTTTGTCAATCCGTGTGATGGTTTTGGGATGGATGCATGTTTTTTTTTGCAGTGCAGCACCATGTGCACAGCACTCCGTTGCAACGTGTGCAGCCGTTGCAGCCGACTTTGGTCGTGTGGGGGGGTCACCTGTTGGGTATCTGACGGCGATGCCAGTGCTATGCTTAGAGGGGCCAAAAATTCTAGCAATGTGAGGGTAAAACATTGGATTCCACCAGTGAGGGCAGATTTATGAGTCAATACTTGTGGCCAAATTTTCCAAGTGGATTCAAAAATTCACTGACTGTGACAATCACATTTTCCGCTGTCGTCAGTAACTAGGATTGATGGTGGATACATACCATCGTAGGATGGACGAATGTGTTGCGGAATTCGGAACATATGACCGCAAAAAGGTTGGTGCAAGCACCAGCTGGTGCTTTCCAATGCTTTCCAGCTGGATAACACAATTTCTATATTTTTTGTTCAGCTGGGGATCCAGCTGGTTTTTTTGCAATCACTGTGAACAGACGTGAGGTTTGACGATGACTTCAGCTGCGTGGTGACCCCGATGATGGGATATCGGATATCATCTCTTTGGACCAACATGAACAGCGTTCAACCCCCTTGTTGGTTTAAAATTATAGGTCATTGTAGTGCCTTAGGGGGTTTTGCTACCCAAAACCCCAATATATTGGGGATTAACTGATTCACAATCAGAATCCACTATACACATCATCACGTTGTTAAAAAATGAATCGCACAAAACCAATCAATTGTATTCCGTGATTTCGTGCAGATTGCACGGTGCTCCGGTTTGTCGAATTAGCCGCCCCAAAAATATATAATTAACCCTTCAATCAATCTTGTACACATTTGTGTATTTGCGTGACGTTGCCCAATTACACATATTGAATATTGGATTATATATATATGAATGCATAAAGTCATATCGTGAGAGTTCATAGTTGTCATTGAATATACATGAATATACATGAATATACATGAATATACATGAATATACATGAATATACATGAATATACATGAATATACATGAATATACATGAATATACATGAATATACATGAATATACATGAATATACATGAATATACATGAATATGCATGTATCATTATATTATATTGTATTACACGTAGCTGCATGCGGATACGCATGATTCGCGTGCGTCTCCGTATGCTGCATTTGCCTAGGCCCCCGCGTGGTGTATGTGTATGTATGTATAATGTATATAATTATATATATAAATAAATATAAATATTCACAATCAAATGCGATGTATGAATGATGCGTAACGGCGTAACACATTTCTCAACATTCTTCGTGAACGTTTACGCAAATATCCCCTGTTCTGTTTTTGTTTTTCCAAACCAAACATTGGGTCCATGTGTTTCATTCGTTTTAAGGTCACATGGTAACACACAAACAAAACATGGGTGCAAAGACCCTCAGAAATTGACACATTCTCAGTTTTGATCCCATTTTGGCCTGCTACGCATGTGATCCAAAATTTGGGTTCACCTCTGAGGCCCTACAAGTGGACCCATTTGGAGAATATCGGGGACGTCCAGAACTTGAGGAATCCGATGTGCCATTTGAAATGCGCCACAAAATCACAGGAAACGTTTGGAGGTTTGCTGGCAATGTTTGATTTTGAATCAGTTGCTTGTCCCTAATGTTGTCCAACTGATGGGCCAATCTTTGGTGTATCCGACTCACCGGCATCAGGTTTATACACCTCGAACGGGACATGCAGTTGTGAACGAGGTCAGCGTGCTGAGGGTACCTGTATAGCAATGATGCAACTTCAGTATAGAGTTACTGAGCCAGGGCGGCAGGGTTTTTGTTGAATCCATTCTGGGGGCAGTTTCGCTGAGGATGGCGTTTTCTACCTCTTTGGAGGGACAGATGGAGCTGCACGGCAAAGTGATGTACACGCGTGCCCAGGGCCGTGTCCATTTGTTGCGGTTGAGTTGGAAAGGTTTCCCAAGATGACCTCAGGTATCCATGGCATCCCCAGAGTTCCATCAGAGTTCCATCAGTATCCCAGGCCGATTCCTGTACCCGGTGCCGCCGGTACCCTGCAACATCTTGGCTCAGCCTGGGGGAGAATGCTCGAAGAGACAGAGGATTTCGGCCTCATTTTCTCGCCCTGGGTGTCGTTGGCTGGATGTATTCTTTGGACAGGCATTTGGGTGTCGTCACACTGCCTGTTGCCTGGGGATCCTAGGGTCACAGAGCCATGGTCTCACCCCGATGGACGCTCTCCAGGGACGACCATGGTAGACGAACCTTGCAAGTCTTCGGAATCTATGCGTCTCTTTTACATGAAAAAACTTCATCGGATGTTCATCTATTGCAGTGTTGCCTCTGTTGCTGGTATGTCCATGTTTACGTCCTGCTTCTTCAAGGAGCAACCAACCCAATGCATGTTGATGAGCTTTGGTCCCGTCCAACAATTCTTTTTTTGGATGGCCGTGGGTCATTGGATCACAGCTCTTTGGGAAGATTGGCGTACCCGTTATTTCTTAGGCCAGGGCTTGACCAAGGAGTCTGGTGGTGGTCTTGCCCTGTTTCCTTTGAATCTTTGTTGCAGCTCGGCACAAGTGATGTATGTCACCTACACTGTACATCATGTGATGACGCTTTTGGCTTACCTCTATTCCCTTTGCAGTTACCAGTTGGGTGGTGTCATGGTGCAGGGTTTGCTATTTGAACTGCCTGTGCTGTGGATGCTGCGCCGGGAAATGGGATACATTTCGAGGCCCAAAGCCCAGTGGCTCACAGAAGTTCGGAGGACTCATGCACACCATGGAGCCACATACCTGACATTTCTTTTGGGACGTGGACCTGCTGAATGTCTGTGGATAGTCTCCATGTTGCCAACCAGCTTTGGAAATGAGCTACTGGAAGAGAGCTTGTCACTGCAGAGCACTGTGGTGTACCACACTTTGGCGGCATTTTTTACGTCGCTGAATTTACGGATTCTTGGTTTGCTCTTCTGCTGGCACGAACAAGACGTGTCACAAGCAAGGTTGGAGGAAGAAAACAGGGAAGTTCGGACAGATAAAGCAATTCCAAGACAGATTTCAAAAGAATGATGGCTGGGAAGGTCTTTGTTCTCCATGATCCCAGTATCTCAGTATCTAGTTCCGTCGGAAGTTTTTGTGATCACGTGTTTGAATCCATGCGGACCCTCTTCGTTGAGGAGCAGTCCCAAGGTTTAGTTTCACACTAGTTCTCATCCAGAACTCCAAGCCGGTAGCCCTTGACAAAGAATCGCGGCGCCGATAAAACCTGCGACTGGGGACTGGTTTTGGGCTGAGGCGCTGGGATTTGGCCGAAATGGAGTAGCTCAACACGAACCGATTTCATTTTTTCATCTTGGTTGAAACCCACAGTTGTTTTTGATGTGGTAAATCCAATGCCAAAAGCCATCCCCAATATTGTCATAAATGGTTGGAACAAATCATTTCATTCTTTTTTAGATATTCAACCCATCATTATGAGCCTTTTTTGGGCTTGGCATGCAGGACCATTCCATTGATTCCATTCATGTCCATGAACATTTCTTCCGTCACTTCTCTAAGAGCAAACTGCATGTTTTTCCTTTTTTTTTTGCCGTAATTATATGGGTTTGTCTGAAAATAGTGTACCCCTACACCCAATGGTTAATGATCATTATCCCTATTAAATGGCTATAATTGGGGGTATACCCCATTTTCAGACATACCCATATGTAATTATCCCTCACACAAGCAGCAGGTACAACGTGGAGACCAATTTATGGCAAGAGATTCGGGCCAGCGGTCGCGCTCCGCCGGCCCGCAGTGGAGCACAGGTGCCGGGCATGGCCCGGCTGCCAATACAAGGGGTTACTGATCCCAAAAAGGATTTTAAGTGGAAATGATGGAACCAAAAATATGGATAGATATGGGATGTATGCGATATAAACCAACAACATCATCAAAATATGGAATATTTGGCATTTGGATCAAATGTTTCTTGGTCGTTGTATTATAAGTACCGTTTCTTCTTTAATTTATGTTGAGAAATTGTGTTGCCTCTCTTCGCTTGTTCAGGAACGAATGGTTTCATGCAAAGGTTGACAAGGATTGAGATACCTTGTTGACATCAGACATACCAGTAATGTGGCCACCTGGAATTTCACACGCTTCGACAAGGCTGGGTGGCTGTACTATCATAAAACTGACTTACTCCTTTCATTGTCATGGCATGGAAAGGGTCTATATATATATATTTATGAATTTCAGCACTTCTTTAGAGTACTTTAACGCTCGACCCTGCCTTCAGTCTGCAGAAAACATTTGCCTGGCAGCTTCAACAAAATTGCCATGCGCTGTTGGCCATGGCTCAAGCTACTCTACCTTTCGACACCTGGACTGCTGGCTGCCAGGGCGGCTACAAGCAGCACGCACCTAACAGCCTCAAAGTCCTGGACACCATGTAGTGAGCACCGGGATGATGACGGTTTCATCTTGGAACAGCCCCGTTTTTTATGTCTTCCAACACCTGGAGGTAGGAAACCCGAGTGCCACAGCGGCCTCGGTTGACTTTCTGCCCAGGGTTAGATGCAGATGCTGCTAGGTTTGGATCCAGTGGAAGCATGGCATGGGAGAATCTGCCCCGTCCCGCCATGAAATTCACAGATGGCTTGGTGGACTCGCCGGGCAGAAAAAACTCTGAAGTGGATCTATGATGCTCTCACCGAAGCGAAGCCGTAGAAGAAAAACTATCTCCTGCTATGAGGAGGATTTTTTCACAGGATTCTGGAGATATACTGCTGTATTTTGAAATGTTGTTTTCCAATTGCCAGTATTTGTACCTTGGTAGTAAGAGAGATGAGTTTAACCGAGATGTGCGACTTGCTTGAAGGAGATGACCCAAAAGTGTTGTTAGGGAGGCTTGCGAGTGCCATGACAGTCATCCGGGAAGTCATCGGTGCACCACGTGCAAGACAAGCAGCATCACCGTTCAGAATGACGCCTTGCATGTGGAGGTGGACACTCAGCAGTGCTTTCATTTGCAAACCTTGGAGAAACTTTAAACAAGCTGCGCTAACCGTTGAGTGGTGGCCTTGGAATGCAGCTTCACTTCTGAAAGTTGTCAAGGGCCTGTCGACACATTGAGCGTTCATAGATTTCAGACAGTGCTGGGCTCGAAAAATCTGGCGGGATTTTTTCGGTCTTCCTACGAGAAATGAACATGCCTTGTCTATGGTTTTAAGTTTTAAGCCAGTCATATCCATTCCGGAGGCCATGGTTTTCTCACAAAACTTCGGTTGATGGACCCCCATCCCAGCGCGCCAGGCTGTAGTGTGGAATGGGAATGTGTGGTTCTTTGGCGGCTACACCAAGAAGGAGACACGGTGGTTTGTGTATCTGCGACATCCCAACAGATCAGATAGATCAGGAACAACAGGAACAAGCGCTAGAAAATGGAGACAATTATAATGATCCAATAATGATCCAAGATATCCAAGAACCCTCTGGGTGGTGGAACTCCATTGGAAAATATACTCAAAAATATATGACTCATGCGACTGAATTTGTCTTGGAATTGTCACAGTCTGAGGAACGTTGAAGCGTTGTGGAGTCACAGGGTTAAACCATGTGTCCTCACACTGTGGGCCTTCCATCCACAAATTGTCCACCTTCTCTTATTGAACTTGTTATTGAACAGATTTGAACAGAAACAGGGGAACTTTAGCTGTTTCGTTGGAGGCCCCTTCTGTCCGTCTGCAGATGGCACCAGTGGTTCAAGATGTTCAAGGTTCAGTGTGAAGGTCGGTCCTTTCAGGACAAGGTCTTAAATACCCCATACCTGCTCGGGTATGGAATCCCTTTTGATAAGACTAACATAAACTAACTGTCCATATTGCACAACAGAATTTCTACCGCTCAGTGGAAAATGAGGGGTATTCCACTGGATTGGCGTTCGCTCTCAAGGGGAGCTAAAGGATCCTCCTGGTGTCTCACAGTGCGGGCTGGACGCCACGGGGTATTTCTCTTGGGGCCCAGCCCTGTGGCAATGGCGATGGTGATGGCAATGAGTCATGAGATATGCCACTTGGACCGGAAGATTGGGTGGCTGGCTGAATTTTTGATTCCTACCTTGTGGCACAAAATTTGCAATTAAATTTGCTGGGTCTTGTAAATGGATGATACTTTTCTATTGATGAATGGCAACACGCGCATCCCTTGGTTCTGCACAGGACACTAAATATTGGTTTCGTGAGTTTCACCCAAAGTTTGAACCCCCCACCCTCAAACAGAAAACTGGACTCTTTTTTTCCGTGTATGATATGCATTTAAAAATCGCTGAGCTGGTGGATGGCGAGGTAGAGTCTATCAGCTTGGGTGTGGGTTGGAATTGAGCTTCTCAACACGGGCTTAAATGGCTTAAACAGGCTTAAAGGATCTTAAAGGTCACTCTAATGGTGCCTAACGTATATGGACGAAAGACAAAAAATCCTGCCCAAAGTGGGTGAATGGTAAATGTAGGTAGGCGACTCCACCAAGATCGGTACCGGGGGCTGTTTCGACGACCCTTACAGTGTTTTAGGCTCTTTTTGACATGTCCGTTTTGGGCGTTCTTCGGGTGGGGGGGGTTTGGAGGGGTTTTGGGGCGGGGGCTAATAACGTCCTTGCTTATGCGTTCCTTCTCCTGCAATTTGCCACGCTCTTGATGCTACGCTGCTTGGTGCAGCTGAGATAGTGCGTGAATTCTTTGAGCAGTGAGAAAAAGAAGTGCACCGATCATGGTCAAGTCGCATGGCTGAATGGGCTGAATGTACATCTTTTGTGTTGATTGAAGAGTGGGTTAGTGAGGATTCGACCTATTAGGGGTGACATTACAAGAGACCCTTTTGATCAATTACAACTTTCACTTCGAGAATTTGCCACTGGTTTTCTTGAGTCGCCTCTCCGTCTAACGTGTGTTGTCACTGACTTTGAGATGTGTATCTTCTAGCTTTGACTGCAAACCCATTTGGTTGGTAGCATTTTTGTTTCCTTTGTCTTTGGCGTGCATTCCCCGTTCTCTTGCTATGTTCCTAACCTTTCCTAACCGTGGTGCCTAGGCGAACCCACGGCTCCTGACCAAGCCGAGCCTTTTGGCCAACAGGCTTGGCGTCAGGCAGTGCGTCACGGAGGACTGGAATGCAGCGGTGATCGTCATGGCCTCAAATTCGACATGTCGGACCTGTCCCGAGTTGGCCTCGTATGGGTCATAATTGGACCGGCTCATGCCGTGCCGAGCAACGTGCTAATTATGAGCTGATTCTATATATATATATAAATAAATATCTGTATATATACAGTATATATACACACATATATATATATATATATGCGGTCATATTTAATTGTATCTCCATCCTAGACTGGTTCAATCCTGAATGGGACCCCGGAGCAAGTCCGAGGCTTGTGGCAAAGCTTCTGAGTGGCAGAAGGCCTTGCACATCCTTTCCTGGTCCCGGCGCCAAAGTGTGATCCCTGGTGGTGCAGGGGACTTGGGGCAATGAGGCAAGATCTGCTGATATATGTATAATACAGTAATAATAGCAATAATAATAGTACGAATAAACATAACCAGGATGAGGATGAGGATGAGGATGAGGATGATGATGATGATGATGATGATGATTATGAGAAGACGATGACGATGACGCTGAGAACAACTCGGTGTGATCAAGGTTTTGAGTGTTTCGAGACCCTCACATCGCCTGAAACATGCATCAGTCAGTCAATGACTACATATTTTTCATCCTTACAAGTTGCTCGGACTTTTCGCCCCAGATTGGCAATGACCAGTTCTCCTGTCATTTAATGGTGATATTTTGTTGCCCAAGAATCAAGAATGGAAATCTGCAGAATCCCAGATGTTGCCAGAATCAATGATTCGTGCTTAGTAGCGGCAAAATCAAAATCCAAGCGATCTTCACTACCCTCCGGCCATGGCAAGTGGGAATTCCCTCAAAACATGGAGGCTTTTTCGTCGGAGAAATCTTCCATCACTGGGGGATTTTCATGGATTTTCCATAACGGGGACGAAAAAAAACGGAGAGTATGCAGATCAATGGTTTTTTTTGTTGGGAAAATCTTAACCGGAAACCATAGATTTTCCCATTAAATATGGGGCTTTCCGGTTAAAATTTTCCCTTAAACCATTGAGCAGATGACATTTGCTTCTGCCACCTCCAAGATCTCCAAGTCCGAGCTCCTTGGAACCCGGCCATTTCCGCATGCGCCTGGAAACCCAACACACGGTGATGTGTTTTTTTTAATGGGGGTATCACTGGTAGGAACAAAAACAACTAGGGCTAAGCCGCTAAGCAATAGAAAAATTATAAGGCGCTACGGCGATAAACTTAGATGGTTAGCGACTTCAATCCCATTTTCGCAGGGTCCATGAAACAACAGCTATGAAATCTTATGAATTGTATGACCAAAGCGGGGGGAAGTGTATTTTCCTCTTCTTGCAAATACATGCCAGCTGCTACATACTGTCCAAAATGAAATGCACTATTGTGGATCTATTTGTGATATTCTTTGACAAGATGGAGAAGAATAGTTGGGGGTTTCCCGGTCAAATAGTCGCCAGTCTAGCAATTACTACACTGTACTTAGATGTTCCCACAATTAGATTAGTGGTGATCGTAAGTGGGCTATAACCCTGCACACAACAAGGATGCATTGGGATATCCCCCAGTTACTAACCACTTAGATAGCTTCTGGCATCATCTAAGTAGAGGGCCATCTCTACAATGACCCATCCTTTCTGGGCTGATTCGAGGCTCGTGCCGTACAATGGCAGCGCGCTGAGTTCCTTGGTTTGCAGTGGCACTGAGCGCGCAACTGACCTCAATTTATGGGCCCGACTGGTGTGACAAGTCCGATGAACCATAGAATTTTGACTTTTGAGAATCTCAAATGGACATTTCAAGTAGGGTTTTCCAATAGAAAAACGATGGGACATGACATGGAAACGCAAACGGCTTGGAGAGAATTGATGCGTTCCAACATTGGTACTTCACTGAGCATGTCAAAGGATACGGTTGCCCATTGTAACTTTCTGGGACCATCGGGGCTTGCAGGAATATTCCCAGAGCCCCTGGTTCCTCTTTTTCGATCCAATCATTTTTTTGAGGCCTTCCAAAGCTTTTTTTCCCCACCTGCTATGTGGTGGTCTCATGTGGTCTCTATCCTCCAGTCCTCTCCTCCGCGTCCTTCTTCTGCCAGCGCGTCGTGACTGTGTGTACCAATGGACCCGAGCCATATCGCAAGCTCCGGATGCAGTGGGGCACGCTGGACCCGAACTCTATCGCGAGCCAGATGCAGTGGGCATGCATGGACGCGAACTCTATAGCGCGAGCTCCGGATGCAGTGGGGCACGCGTGGACCTGAACACATGCCAGAGAGAATGTCAGATAGAATGCCAGACAGAATGTCAGAAAATATGCCAGATAGAATACCAGAAAGAATGTCAGATAGAATGTGAGAATATATGTCACTTAGAATGCCAGAAACAATGTCCGATAGAATGCCAGATAGAATGTCAGAGTATATTCCAGAAATAATGCCAGATAGAATGTCGCAATATAAATATTATATGTATTATATATGCGATATATCTTTCCAGATGATATGTCAGAAACTATGTTTGTCAGAATAATTTGCCAGGCCGGGGATTACTCGAAGTAAAGTATTTTTGTGGGCGGGGGGGGAGGGATAAGGGATTGTATCGATTTTTTCATGGATGATCTGTTTCAGGAGCCCAAGGGAAACCAACAAGTGACCAGCTGGTGACGGAATCCAGGCTGTTGCTGCGCAGCATGCAACATCGCGGGCCTCAGCCCACGCTGATCACCTTCGGAGCGGCTTGGAACCGAGATCCATTGGGTCAGGAGTTCGATTTCAGAGGTGGACACAGTACCTGGCTCAAAGCTTATCATCATCATCATCATCATCATCAAAAAACAGTGATAATAAATGTAATGATAAACATTGCTATAGTAAAAAACAAAAATCCCTGACTTCAACGCCCAGGTCCTAGATGCACACGCCAAGGGAGCTGCCGGGACCTCGATTCAATGAGAGACATTTCGAATTGATATTAGAAAACATAAAAACATCTGTCAACACAAAAATATGTAGAAACATGTGCATGTACATGTATATGTACAAGTAAATAAATACATAAATGAATAGATAAGTAAATACACAGATAGTATGCTATATACATGAATAAACAAAACTACATGAATATATAAAAAAGATTTACAAGTAAATAAATGAGTAAAACATGTCCATTCAATAAATAAATGACTGAATAAATAAATGAAAAATGAAAAATGAATACATAAGTAAATAAATAAGTAAATAAATAAGTAGATAAATAAACAAATAAATAAATAGATAAATAGATAAATAAATAAACAAACAAACAAACAAACAAACAGATAATATACGTCTATGCGGATATGGTTACTCAAATAAAAACGATGTTTTTTCACAGTGGAAACTCCTTACTACTTCAATTTTTTTCTTGAAGAGTTTGCCTTTTAAGATCTGAATTTTGGAGAACAACATGGAAATCAATTCCCATCCGTTTGACAGATCTGGGAGCAAAAACGTGCTTTTTCATCAGGCCTTACGATCATGGAGGACCGAATATCAAATCAAGTGGGTGGGGTTTGCAGTTCTGAAACATGTTAAGAAATAGCTGGGTATCCCAGTTGTCACCACGTATTTTTTTGGTGTGTCTGGGTATCCCAGTCAGTGTTTCACCAATTCGGAGGTGATTTTCCGCTAATTTTTTTTGGATCCAAGGAAGATGAAATTCGATTTGGACAACTAGCTAACCCAGCTAGTACAAGTCCAAACTAGACAGTAAAACTCCGTGAAACCACTTAGTATCACCCCATGTCATCATGTTAGTCCCAGTATATCTCCGAAAAGTAATGCTTAGGATGATCGCGATTTTCATGAAACCCCGAAGAATCCAACCGTCACCATAAACGAACCAGCATTTGCAAGTGATGTTCCTATTCCTGCACTCTGAGTTCCGAGGATTTTTCCAATTTTAAAAGTGATCAAAACATCATTTCTTAAATTGTTTGCTTGTTGACATTTTCACGATTTCGAAACAACAGATACTCATCAATCCTTAAATCATTACAGCAATTAAAGGCAGCAAAACCATAAACCATTGGCACCAATCTATGGCTTCCTACAACAAAAACACTTTAAGCTCCAGACAAAACCAAACCTTTTTGAGGATTAAAGCTGTATATTGTCATTTTGATTATTCATTCAATCCCTAGCAAGTACAACAAATCGCGCAAAAAACAATTGCAACATACATAATAGCATTACAAAGCCATGATTTTGTGGCAAAGTGCTGGTGATCAAAACCCGACAACCCGGACAGGTCTGGCACCGGGCCATCGCCCTGCTGAAGCTGTTGCGAAGAAAACGACAACTGGACGCGGTGGCAGTGACTGCAGTGATCCAGGCCTGTGGAAATGTGGAGAAGTGGCGGGGAAGCTCAGGGGATGGCATGGATGTGTTGCGATATACATAGTTATAACATAGATACATAGATACATAGATAATCATAGATACATAGGATGCGTAGGATACATAGGACACATAGGGTAAATAGGATGCATAGGATACATAGGATACATAGATAAATAGGATACATAGATAACTAGGATACATAGGATAAATAGATATATGCAGACATAGAGACATAAATGCATAGAGACAGAGAGGCAGAGAGGCACAGAGACATAGAGACATAGAGACATAGAGACAAAGAAACATGGAGACATTGACACGCACAGATACACAGATACACAGATAGAGTAGATTAGATTGGTTTAGACTAGATTAGATTAGATTTGATTAGATTAGATTAGATATAGAGATAGATAGATAGATAGATAGATTAGATTAGATTAGATTAGATTAGATTAGGTCAGATAGATCGATAGATAGATAGATAGACAGACAGACAGATAGACAGACAGACAGACAGACAGACAGATATAGAGATAGAGATAGAGATAGAGATATAGAGATATAGAGATAGAGATAGATAGATGGATGGATGGATGGATGGATGGATGGATGGATGGTGCATGCAATGCATGCATGCATATATATATATGTATACAAGTATGCATGTCAATGTGTATGTGCATGTGCATGTTTGTGTATATTGCATATATGATATGAATATAAATATTGCGGAGAGATGAAAACGTTGGTAAATGTTGATGAAAAGATGAATCAAGAGATAAACAAACTCAAGAGTGAAATCTTTGCCACCAGATTCCCGAATATTTTCGCCTGGACGATACAAATATGCCGTACCAGGTAGACGCTGCCGAAAGGATGTATTTCCACTGGTTTATACACCCACCAAGAAAGGTAGATTTGTGTAAACCTCAGCTGGTGTTGGATATGTCTATTTGTTTATCCTGGGGATTTCAAAACTATCCCGTATTGTGGATTTCTGACTGACCCATCGCGGTTCAAGTACAAGGGTATATAGTATAGTTCAGGTTCTCAAAGTCTTCAAGCAAAGGAGGATTCGGCAAATTTGCGGTCCCCCAAAATCTGGAAAATATCCGAACCATTGATTCTCCCGCTCCAAGAGTGCAACATACCGTAACATTTTGGGATCCAATCAATCTTGGGAAACAACGAGTTCCTGTGCAATTTCCAGCATTTTCTGAAGGATTGCGTCCAGCTTCGTTCCCTGGATTTTCCCCCTGATCCTTTGCTAATCCAACCTGGCCATGAGGCAAGAAGCCTTGGCACTTTTCAGTGCAAAGCTGGTGCCAGGTCTGACAGGGGGCTCTCACCAAGAGCTCTATGATCCCCAAGATATGGGAAAAAGGCAATCTTTATGGGAAAAAGATGGAAAAAGTGAGCCATAAATCAACCAGAAATACAGGGCCTTTGTGGAAAACCCCCCGCTTTTTTTCGGGTTCAGCCATTGAGGTGATCATGTGATGCTGGGCGCCACTGCTGCAGCTTGCCGTGGCATGTGGGAGGCGACCACGTCGTTTTTTCAGTTTTTTTTTTCTCCATCGATGCTCAAATTCGGGGTAGCCGAAGTTGCCGAAGATGATAGAAGATAGAATAGAAGATAGAATAGAAGATAGAAAACCCATCTATTTTCTTACTAGTAAACATAGTAAACATAGTAAACATAGTAAACATAGTAAACATAGTAAACATAGTAAACATAGTAACTATGTCTATTTAGTAGAAGAAATCGCCATCACAGGTGGGTCCCCACGGTGCCACGGTGCTTTGGCACTGCTGACGACATGCCGACGTGCCTCGAGGCCTCCCTGGGGTTCCTAGAAATTGGTGCGGCGGCTCAGGACTCGGCCCGGAAGTAGATACCCGGCCTGGTAGTGACTAACAGTTTGCGAACTTGAAAATGGTGATTTATAGTGGATTTTCCCAGCTATAAAATGGTGGATCTTTCCATAGTTTTTTGTAAACGTTTACCAGAGGGTATGATTTCAGAATGCTGAAAAATGATTCACGAGGCAGGCATTTTCGCACGTTCCCAAAGGGAATTGTTCTGCGAACAATTCCCAATTTTCGGAATTGTCACTTCTTTTCTAAGTGAATTGAAGACAACCGTTTGGTGGGTTATCCAGTGATTGACGCTACAAATACCAGGAATTGGTGATGGCTATTGGGGAAATACCAGGAATCCTATTCAAAACTGGAGTCCCGGATCCGTAACATTCTACAGACAAAGCCCAACGAACATACGAGGAGGTTTTGTCGTGGACACCGGGGCTAAATACACCAACCATCAAACCATGGATCAATTTCCGCATTGGTAGGAAAGTCTTGGGTTTGCTCCGGCTACGACTGGATGTGCATTCCAATTAGTAATTGGGCACTAAGCATCTTACATCATACATCATCATACTATGTTTATTATGGTCCAGTTGTATATATATACTATATATATACATAAACACACACCCTCCAATAACATAATATAGATATGGGCTTCCAACCGCTTACCATCCACCTCTTTGGCCGAGGGTGGAGGTCTCGACTTGTGACCGGCAAACCGCTCTATGGCACTTGCCTCACGGCCATGGCATCAGCGGCGAGGTGGAAGCAGGCTTCGGCCCTGGATCTGTCCATCAAGATGAATTAATATGGGTGTGTCTGAAAATAGTGTACCCCTAAACCCAATGGTTTTGCTGATCATTATCCCCATTAAATGGCTATAATTGGGAATATACCCTATTTTCAGACAGACCCATATTGATATTCCACTAGATATAATGGTGAGTGTCAATGATATATGAATATTCTGAATACCATTCATGATTAATCAACAATGATTCATTCAACTATCTTTTCTGAGACGTCACTCATTTTGACCCACGCCGCATTTTGCCAGGCCCTGGCCATCTTTGAGATGATGGAGGAGCTACACGCCTAGCCTTTCTCGTTGTGAAAGATAGCTGTTCCATGTGAACACCTCAAACATGCAACGTTTGATGATCATACCATCCCCAAAAAAAGGTGACGTCCCAGTGAAGAACCAACCGTAGATATGGCTGTCATAGGCTCAGAGGCCTAGAGTACGACTTCTGACTCCATGTTGTCAAGCGCTTGAGTACCATACCCCAATTTTCGATGTCACACGATAGGGCGGGGGTCCTTTTGTTTCCCAATTTATGTGTGAACATCGCATCAGATGGCCCGGTGATGAAACAGTGCCTAGTTCCTCCAATAGGTGATGCTGTTGGCATCCAAACTTTTTGCATTTTCAACATGGTTTACCATTCCGAAATTCCCCAGGCAAAGTCTCACCAATGAAACAGCCTTGGCAGCTACAGTGGGGCAGCCCAGCTTGGGCCAAGGGCTCAGCCTTTTCATCGTTGTGGGGTGCAGTTGGGAAATTATTAATTGTGATAACCATGGTGGGTTAGGGTTATAACCTCCATAGGTTGGATGATGCAACCCCTATAACTATGATTATATATCCACTTCCCTCACTGGATTTGCACCCCAAGTTGCGGTCAGATTTCGTTATTGGCAGCGTCGGTAGTGTTGTTGACCGGCCAGGGCCACGCAATGTCTTCAGCCAGTCTCTGGAGAGAGGCTGCAGGGCATCCGTCCAGCTGTTGTTTTTGTAAAGGGTATCCTGAAATCATCCAGACTGTCCTTCTATTTCCGCATTTTAGTAAATCTAGTTCTACATATATATATATATATATGTATGTATTTATGTATATATGCATATATGTATATATGTATATATGTATATATGTATATATGTATATATGTATATATGTATATATGTATATATGTATATATGTGTATATGTGTATATGTATATATATATGATATGATATGATATGATATGATATGATATATGATATGATATGATATGATATGATATGATATATGATATGATATGATATGATATGATATGATATGATATGTATTGATATGTGGCATTGAAAGCGGTGCAGCGTTTTTCTAGAGATACCAGGCCCTACCCTCCGATTTTGGGACACCAGGCCTTGGAGCTGTTGGGCCAGCTGGATGCTGCACAGCCAGCGCTGTGGGGTACCGCTGTAAATGCGGCCTCGCGGGGATATCACTGGACGAAGGTCCAGCCAGCTGAACGGGTACTGAACCAACAAACCAACAAAGATGGGAGATTTTTTGATGGATTTTCCCTGGTTTTCCACATGAATATTCAGTGATTTCCGTGGTTTTTGTGAGCAAACTTCCTTGGTTTTTTGAATAGTTGATGGGTCAAAATTGGGACATTGGGAAGAGAGATGCAAGCGAGCTTGCATTTTTTATCCGGCATGCATGCGAAGTTCCGCCTCAAATAGTTGGCATGGGACGCGACCTTCAAAAAAACGTGGTCAGAATTTGATGATTTGACGGAAGAGATGTATTTTGGGATGAGTGTGACGGATTTTGTGATGGCACGAAGATGTAGTTTGCATCAGGATTTTTGACTCGATTCCAGCTGCCGCTTTGGCAGGCCTTGGATTTGCTTGAGAGGCAGCAAAGCTTGCTCCAAGTGGTGAAAGTTGACCTCTCTTTAGACACGCAGATTTAGGTTCTTTCTTTAGTATCCACCATACCATTCTTGTTCTGAATGACGTGACCGTACTCTCATATTCAGCTCTCCCAACAGTCTTCTGAGGTATTTGCCCATGATGTGGGTGTGTCTGAAAATGTATTGTTTTTTTTGAATAGGCAAAATGATAAATCATCAACATGTTGTTTCTTTCCTCCAAATCTCCAGACAAACCCATGTAAGTCTTTGAAGATCTGTGAAGCATATCCGGTGTTTTTTATGCATGTCCTTGCCATCAGGATGCAGAATGCAATGATTCAAGTGAACGTGCAGCTGGCTGGGATTGCATCACATAGCCCCGCAGCCCACCAGAAAATTGGGGGATCCGAAGCATTCAATTACCATCTGCAGTTATTTAACATAGCCATGGAAAAACACCAGTTTTAATAGGTAAACCCAGGTAAACCATCTATAAATGGGCCATTTTCCATGGCTATGTTAAATAACCAGATGGTAATTCTATTGGACGACATCTTTTAAAAAACATGAAACAACTTTGGAGACGAAGAGTTGAAAAAATCCTGAGGATGGGTCCCCTAGAATCGATGCCAGGCAGTTTGCCAGAGTTCCGGCCTTGGGTGTGACTGCCCTGGACGTGATGCGGGGGCAGACTCATCAATGGCTTAACCATTAAAGTTATTAAAGAATGGTGATTTAGATGGGATATTAAATGGAGATGTTACCCTCTGGTAAATAAACATAGACCCTGAAAATCACCATTTTTTAATGGAAACTAATCTTCCAACCCCTATTTGCCAGGGTCTATGTTAATTTACCAGAGGGTATGTTTTTTTTTTTTTTAAAATTAACCAACTATACTATGATCGATCCCTTCCTTCCATCATCTCAAACCTCCAAAGGGAAACCTTGTTATTATAGTATGGAGTCTATTTATTATTGGTGCCAAGTCATGAGGTGTCTAAAAAATCTTGGAAGGGGATGAAGAATTCATGGGGTCCCATGAAGACTTTTCCTCAGACCTCAGATTGCTTCTGAGCAGGTGAAGAACTGTCTTAAGCTGCCTATGATCAAACTGTTTCTTGGGGTTACAGCGGTACACCCCCAGCTGAAGTATCAGAAGCTGGATGATAAAAGAAAATCCCACTCACACAGATCAGAGATTTTTTTTGATTTGCATAGAAATTTCCATGGCTGGTTGGAAGGGCGACTTTCTTGCAACATGAAACATGATGAAACATGTGTTAGATTTGAAACAGCAAACTGGTTGCATTTTGTCCCTCAAATTTGACTTTTACGCTTTTTGTTTCACCCCCGCCCCCCACTTGATGTTATTTGCTAACTCGTATGGGAGTGGCTGATGCCTCTGTGGAAAATGAAATGCTGTCGGTCTGTAGAATGCATTTAGATCCGAGACATGTTTCTGTTGGCTCTATTACGTTCTATTATGTTCTATTATGATCGTGGCCACATTTTGGTCAGTGATTCAAACATCACCGGCCATTCTCTGCTGATGCATGGGTCTAAATGAAGTAGAGTACACCAAAAGACAAGTCCATCTATGGTTCCAGGTTCTCCTCGATGTTTGTAGGTGGAATGCGCTGCTTATTGTCTTTTCGACCTATCTCCCTTCTCGTTGCTTCAAATCCAAAATCTTGGTAGTGAGATCCCCATTTAGGGTGGTTGAAATTCCAACTAAATTCCAGCTTCTGGTAAAATCCTTAGTATACTTTGGTAAGACTACCATTTCCAAAATTTGGTGGTTGAAGTCCCAATCTTTGGCGAAGTCACCAATCTCCGGACTCCATCCTTGGACAAGGTGCTGCCATGTCCTCCTGCGTGCGTGCCTCCCGCTGGCCCTTGGCGCTCTCGCCACTTGCTGATGCCGGTGCCGCGGCTGAATGGCGACACCAAATGCGCTTTGTGCAGCTCCAAAAGTTGGGATTTTTCATCACAACTGTGGATGATGTTAGTTGCACCACTTGTTAAGTGGAACTGCAGCCCCAAGTGTAGTTTCCAACCACCAAAAAGATAGGGCGGTTCCCAAAAAAATGTGTCACCAAGCGTAAAAAAAGGACAATGGGGAGATAACTTTAACAATACGAGAATTATATATGGGGGTGTTTTTTCATATGGGCATGGGATTTGCTACTCAAATAATTATGTAGCCATTTCAAGGGGGTATATGACCAACTTACTGTATGAGGATTTAATCAACGAATCAATAAAAAGGATACATATCCTGGGGATGTTGACCAACCAGCGATCAAGGGAATGAAGAAAAAAGTCATGGGATATCACAGGACAACCACAATTTTTGGGGTGGGTCCCATATAAAAAATTGGGGAAAAGAGGATTATTTTGCACAGATAAACTTACAATGGGATAAAATTTTATCCGGATTTACCAGCAAGAATTTCTGATGCACAGCTCGTGTTGTGGGCAGATTAACATACGGATTCACGACGGGAAAAAAGAACGGCAGGTGATGAGGGTAGGAGATAGGGGCGCCCTTGACATGGCTGATCATTCCTTGGATAAAACTTTCCTGGTAAACTAACATAGCTATTGAAAATGGCCCATTTATAGTTGATTTACCTATTAAAGATGGTGATTTTCCATAGCTATGTTAAATTACCAGAGGGTAAACTTTCCTTTTTTTGGTTGTTTTGAACACAGTCATTTCAGACAAGCCGGGTTCAGGTTGTTGGGTACCCAGCTTGGATACTTTACTGAAACATTGCTTACTTCGGAACTTGAATGCCGAACTTGAGTCACTTATGCATCTTAGGCCCTTCTCAATTTCTGAGAAACCACCCATATTGCAATGGCCAATCATTGTTTTTTTTTTATGCGGACTTTTTGTTTTGCATTGTTTGACGTCTCTACGAGTCAAGAGTCTTTGTCTATGTCTATATAATTCTGTATATATATCTCTCTACGCGTCAACCATTTCTTATCATCTCTACATTAGTAGTGATTGTACATACTCAAACTATTTCTTGTTACATATGCCTACTGTACAGTTGCTTCACTACTAATTTTTCTTCTGAACTGGCATGGGATGGTCACCCAGGGTCTGCATTGGCTGCGTGCCAACATGCTGCGCTGTGGGAGCAGGCAGGACTAGCCTGTTCCCTGGAATGACTCGTATAGTATATATATCCCTAGGGCCCAAAGCAATGAAATACAATATTGGGATTTGCCCCATATAACTATCTCAGGAGGTGATGGTGAATTCCTGGGATCTTTTGAAATGTCGGGCTTATTTCGCATCAAATTGAACAACAACGGTTGTATCTCGATGCGTTTCCCTTTTTTAAAAACAAGCTACTGTGATCGACAAACTGCTACTGTGGATCTCCCCAGAGCTTGGAGACAATGTGCTAAATGGACCATATGATGATTTTGAAGATTATTTTTTGAGATTTTTTTGAGTCCTTTTTCAGACAAGCCCCTGAAACAGGGATTTCAGGGCTGCAGAGCTTCACTCACCTGGGCACTTGGGCACTGTGCCTGCTACGCCTGAGGCTTTGCATTTGATTCGCGAGGCGGGAGATTCCCAGCATGCGATGTGACGTTCCCCAAGTTCCATGGGTTTTATATGACTGTTGGCCATACGCACCATGCCACCATCCTTTTGCTGTTTGACCCATTACCATTTCATGTCGGACAAATCGTCAGTTTTTGTTTCGGGTAAATACCACGATTGGTTTGTACATGCAATTTATTCTGGGGCAATTCCAAACTTTTGCTGGGTGTATCGGTGTATCACAATTTTTTCTCGGTTAAATCAGAGTTTTTGTTGTGTAAAGCCAGGCAGGACCAGGCAACCGCAGCATAGTGCTTCGTGCTTCGGCCATTTCCAGCTGTGCAGAGGCGTGTTTTTTTTTTTTTCGGACTTTTGCATGAGAAAGATTTACATGATTTAACTAGCATCACAACAACTTTTACAAAAAGAAGCCGCACCAATTCGGGAGGGTGAATTGATCGGCCTTCGAAAAAAAGGTCTGATGCAACACTTGCATATAGTTGCTACGGCATGCAGACTCATGCATATATGCGCGCCATCCCAGCATTCAAGCTTTGAAGCTCTCCTCCCCACCTGCTGTGACACATACTGTGTTTTGCCAATATTGCCATGCTTCAAACTCTTAACAGAAGTCAAGACAAAACTTCCTAGGTCGCGACACATCCATGGTTTGCAGATCCATCTGGTGATTTTTGGGGTCAGGCGACTCAATGGTCCTGGGCCTTGCGATTGTGGTCGACTCAAGAGGGGTTTTGCCACGGGCATTGCAATTTTGCCACTGGCTCACTGGCTCACCCAGTAGTTGTTGATGCGTCTCGATGCGTCTCAAATTTGCTGATCCTTTAGATATTTGGCTTGCCCAGCTATTGATGTAAGGCCAAGCACCACTTCCAATGTGTATTACAAGCCCCACTACTGAAGTCAAGATAGCTATGTATATGACGTTATCCTCACTGAAGTCCCTCTTTTTTGTTGCGCTTAAATCCTTTTTTGTTTATTCAAACCCCGAATTTCAGTTGGTTCAGCCCCCACCAATTCTTCTTTGGGCAAGCGAGGCTAGCGCCTTTGGGCGCCCTGGATCCTTCCCCCAACGCTGTGTGCTTTGGGGCGGGGCTCCAAGCCTGCCGCACCACCGGCCAAAGTTGGGACAGCAACATTCGCAGTGGCTTCTTCTCGCAGACACTTTCCGAGGATTTTTCTGACTATGGGGAGGCTGTTGTGAAATTGAGGGATGGATCAAGAGAGATGTTGGTCATTTTGATGATTGAAGCTTTACTTTGAGGATGTTTTCGGTTTCCCTTGACACATGACGGAGAAGTAGACCTCCCGAACCCAGGATGGTGTTCAGCTTCTGAACATTAAGGTCCTGGTTGTCCTTATTCTAGGAAACCACCATATGGACCATATATGTATATAGATATAGACCAATACACCTAGGCGATACTTGAACAGTAGAGGCGTAGAGGTAAAACTGAGGTACAGGGGAAGTACGGTAAAGATCGGTAAAGAGCACATTCCTTGTAGGGAAACACCTCTGACTTGCCCTGGTTTCATCCGAATGCCTGAGCCAGGTTTAGGACGTCAATGGGCGCGGAGTCCTAGACCCTGCAAGCTCTAATCTTCTGGAAGGACCTTGTGTTGGTCGCTTTGTTGCACCCTGAAGCAATGAAGATGAAGCTGATCTTCCATCGGAGAAGATCATTTTTAAGATCCACAAAAGCAACCAAAATACCTTTCGGTGGAACAAGTGGAACAAAACTACGAGAATCAATTTGGGGATGGGTCAAAATCTAAGCCCAATGGGACCACAGATTTAGTATATGATATACTATTAAACATCTAATTGTTTGGGTACCCAATTTTGACCTATACCCATTTGAAGTCAAAATCTGTAGAACATCCCGGGGTTTGGTGGTGGTTTGTCAGGCCCAAGGCCTCCACCTTCTGACTGAAGTGATGCCAGGCCCGGGGGACTTGGAGCAAGACTTTTTTTTGGGCTTGGACCAAGCCAAGTTTGGGAAAAGAACAGCTGGAAATGGGCAATTCCTGAGGTTTAGTATGGTCCAACCAAGAAGAATAGCTTGATTTCGGTGAGAAAAAGTGGGGGTCCCAGCCAAAATCGAGCCAGAAACTGGGGTAGGTCACAAATAGTGAACTAGATTGACTCATTTTCAGTGCCAATATTTCAGATATCAATTTTGGTCCCCAAACATTGGAAAATCATCATCTTCCCGGAACCCAGAAGGCCTCAAATCTCGGTTGCAGGTCTTGCAAACCAAACATGTGAACGGAGTATAAATTGGATAGATACTCCCAGAGGTAAAGGTCAGAGTTTTGGCTCCTTTGTTATGGACCGGACTACTTTTGGGGCACTCGATCACTCTGTATGGGGACAGTACCTTAATGTTGCTGGTTAGACAAGTTATTTGATTACTGTAATTCCCATCTTATCGGACACATAAGATTGCCAGTACGGATGTTTTTTTCTCCCAACATTCACTGGATCATATTGCTGGTGATATCCAGTTTTACATCCCATTTTATACCAAGAATCTTCAAATTTGGGTGAATTGCTCATATTGGTGAATGGTCATCAATCCCTTGATACAGATTTGTATGCCCTTTATAAGGAATCCCTAATAATGGTAAGATGTCCAGAAAGCATTAATCACGTTTACTGTAACTTCATCACGGCACATATGTTTAGATACATCATTTAACATAATTTTTCCTCTTCCTGTGTATAGCTATACAAAATCATTCAGTATAATATATATATATACATTATATATATATATACATACATACACATTATATATGTATATATATATATATATTAACTTGTTTTTATGAATCCATGGGCCCGGAGGTCACTCTGTGGCTGCCGACCTGGTGGCGCATGTGGCGGCAGTGCTGGCGGCGGATGCCTGGCGCATCCATTGTATGATGACCATTGTCTATTTGTATTGTAACATATATATATATGTATATGTGTATATGTATATGTATATGTATATGTATATGTATATGTATATGTATATGTATATGTATATGTATATGTGTGTATATATATATGTATATGTATATGTATATGTATATGTATATGTATATGTATGAATACATATGAATGCATGTATATACTTGTCTATGAAGTACATAGAATAAAGATGAATCCGTGGAAGCGAAACACATATCGGGCTGCTGATTCACCCTGTATGGCTATGGGTCACAATTGGATACCCCAATTAATGGATGGTTAATATGAAAAATGGACTTAAATCTGTGGTCCGGTCTGCAAAATTCTCACCCACAGCGGCCCACACCCACAGAGATATGTATAGATATGCATAAACATACAGAGATCTAGAGCTAGTATCCTGCACCCAGACCTTCCAAAGGATTCCACGGTCCCAGGAACGGAGTCATGGTCCCTGGACTGGGACACTGTTAAGGCGCCTCGTCAGAGGCGCGTTTTGCTTCGTGGATCCATGGGGTGGGAAAATCCAAAATGAAATCTTTGAGACGTACCATAAAATTTCCTCAATTTCATAGAAGGGTAACAACAAGTACATAAGTCCAAAAAGTCTAAATCCATTTAAATGGATTAAATCCTAGGTTTCTGGGTTTCTGTGGAGGCAATAAAAAATGGTCAATCCTGAAATGTGGAGGCAATTTGTCTTCAAAGATAGGGATTGGACCAAGCTTTATTTTTGGGGCTAGCGTACATCGATCCAGCTGAAAAGGGGTGAGCAATGTAAACCCTGCCCGGTTGGAATTTCATCATTGGATTTACCTTAAATTAACTGTGAATACCAACATTCATCATTCTAGGGCATGGTTCGAAAATTGAGACTCCGATTTCCTAAGTATTTCCCAGATATTTCCATCATTTTCCATCATTTTGAGATATTTTGAGTATCTAAATCGAACTATCCCAGCTTTGGGAGTCTACATCAGGCGTCCTTTCTTTGGCGCCCGCGACCGGTTCTGAGCCAATGGTCTCCGCCAGGCTGGGAAGTTTTGAGCAACAAAAGGGGGACCAAGCGCGAAAAATGGTGATGCAACCAACAAAAATGTGGATTTAACTAAAATTGTGGTAAAATGGGATACAGTGGTAAAAAAAGGTGGTATAATGGGATTTATATGATTAATTTAATCAAAAAAAGTTGGGGATTTACTCAGCACAACATGGAATTTCACTGGCAAAGGATAGGGAGTTAGCCAGGAAAAACATATGTATTTCCAACACCAAAAGGATGTAAAATTGCTGAGCAACGCTCACCATAAGATATAAACTTATGGATTGCCCGTTCGATGATGACTGGATATGCTGCAGTTTTTTTTATTCCATGTTAGGATGCACAATATGGCCAGAGTCGGGACTAACTGATCAGCCTTCCCATGAAGTGCTACTCTTCCCTGCCAGGACTGAAGAACTCCTATCTACTTTGGCGTTGCCGGGTGGCCCAAGCACTAGGGTTCTAGAATCCTAGAACGGGAACCCGGAAATCATAAAAAAAAACGTACTTTTCGTCGTGTCGAAGCGTGGAATCTGACGGAAAATCCCTTTGGATCAAAATCTCTAGGAGCCAACTCTGAGGTTGGTGTCTCACGACTGTGGCAACTTGATGCAACGTGGGGAAATCTCAGTCGGTCCAATGAGACAGACACGTGGTTCCTACGGAGGGGTTTTATAGCACCGATGGGAATGTTGGGGAATCTCAAAATGGAGGATTTAACAAATGCGGGGGTCAATAGTACTATATATACATATATATATACACATATATCTCTATATATGGGGATGGGTCCAAATTGTTTTGACCCAAGGGATCTCTGTGTACCTCGCTTTTTTTGAGTAGCCCATGAGTTGACCCAGAGCCTTTTTTTGTGGTTCCCAGATGATCTTTTTGGGCGACGGTGCTGGACTTTGCTGCAACGTGAGCGCCGTCCAGGACGCATCTGGCGCCAGTGCATTCCCGTTGTCCAGGTGCGTTGTCTACCAACAGGAAGGATTTGGAATGGGAATAGGGTGGAACTCTACAATGCAGAAGGCCAAATTGTTCTATTCATTTGGTATTTTTAAGGGGTGTCAACACTAGACTCTAAAGATGTTGCTTGGTTAAAACCTTGCACCCAATGGTTGGACTGGCTGCTTGGCGGTAGTTTCATTTTGTGCCTAAAGAACCATTCCTACCCAAATCCATTTGGTAGTTTACTGACACTTTCTCAACAGTCAACCAATGGATTGTTTGTTACAGGAAAGTCTGAAAACTGGACACGTTTTGTTTTTATTTTTCCATATGTTCATATATTTTCATATATTTTCATATATTTTCCCATTACTTTACATCTATTTTTCACGCTGATTTTCCAGGACCCGCGGGGAGTTTCTGAATTCCCGGTGGAAACCAGGCCGCTTCACTGGGTCCTGGCTGTCCTGAAGGGATGGGGAGCCCGGGGAGTGAGAGGCTCAGTGGGCTGTCCAGCATGGGTCCTGGCTAAAACCACCATATGGATTGGCTGTGAAAATTGGGGAACATCCTATGATGGGAATCGAAATCCCATAGGATATATAGGATGTTCCCAATCACATATGATGGTCATATGATGGTCATAAATTTAGCTCTTAAACGCTGGGAATCGAATGGGATTTCAAAAAAAAATGAGACAAGCCTACCTGTAATCAATCCCATTTTTTGAGGATTTCGCCCAACATGGCTGGGAAATCTGCGAAACATGGACACCTCTGCTATATTCTGCTATCAATGGGAAAGTCATCTGACAAGATAGTGGACTCAAAAAAGCCATGTTTCATTGCCCGATAAGCTATTTTAAGATAGTTGTTATGCCCACTTAGGGCTGGCAAAGATCCTGCTTTGCGATTTGGCCACTACTAAGGTGTCAGTGGGCCATTGGTGGCGCGAATGGCGCTGTGCACTTGGACGTTGGCAAAAAGATCGCCTTTTTGTCGTCATGATATCAGCTGGAAATGTTGTCTACAATGTCATGGGGAAATCATGAGCGACTCAAAACTCAGAAAAACTTGTTGTGTGTTGATCCCTTAAAATTATATAAAATTATGAGATTAGTCCGGAAATCTATGGAAATCTATGGAAATCTATCAACATCTACCAGCCAACCAGCCAAAATTATGAGATGTGGCGTACGTAAACAGGTGAAATCCTTCGGATATGATCTCAACAATGAGCGGCTCGAGCGTTGAGCGGACATCCATTGGTTTTATGATGAGAAAAACCATTGGATCCGTTGGAATCAAA